TCACTGCAGGTTTCTAGAGGCACTGGCGGACCGGCTGTGCATGGGGGATGTGAACCGAGAGGGAGACTGCTCACACAATGATCTACTTTGAAGCACCTCTTCCCTCCTCTCACTGCAGGCTTCTAGAGGCACTGGCGGACCGGCTGTGCATGGGGGATGTGAACCGAGAGGGAGACTGCTCACACAATGATCTACTTTGAAGCACCTCTTCCCTCCTCTCACTGCAGGTTTCTAGAGGCACTGGCAGACCGGCTGTGCATGGGGGATGTGAACCGAGAGGGAGACTGCTCACACAATGATCTACTTTGAAGCACCTCTTCCCTCCTCTCACTGCAGGTTTCTAGAGGCACTGGCGGACCGGCTGTGCATGGGGGATGTGAACCGAGAGGGAGACTGCTCACACAATGATCTACTTTGAAGCACCTCTTCCCTCCTCTCACTGCAGGTTTCTAGAGGCACTGGCAGACCGGCTGTGCATGGGGGATGTGAACCGAGAGGGAGACTGCTCACACAATGATCTACTTTGAAGCACCTCTTCCCTCCTCTCACTGCAGGTTTCTAGAGGCACTGGCGGACCGGCTGTGCATGGGGGATGTGAACCGAGAGGGAGACTGCTCACACAATGATCTACTTTGAAGCACCTCTTCCCTCCTCTCACTGCAGGTTTCTAGAGGCACTGGCGGACCGGCTGTGCATGGGGGATGTGAACCGAGAGGGAGACTGCTCACACAATGATCTACTTTGAAGCACCTCTTCCCTCCTCTCACTGCAGGTTTCTAGAGGCACTGGCGGACCGGCTGTGCATGGGGGATGTGAACCGAGAGGGAGACTGCTCACACAATGATCTACTTTGAAGCACCTCTTCCCTCCTCTCACTGCAGGTTTCTAGAGGCACTGGCGGACCGGCTGTGCATGGGGGATGTGAACCGAGAGGGAGACTGCTCACACAATGATCTACTTTGAAGCACCTCTTCCCTCCTCTCACTGCAGGTTTCTAGAGGCACTGGCGGACCGGCTGTGCATGGGGGATGTGAACCGAGAGGGAGACTGCTCACACAATGATCTACTTTGAAGCACCTCTTCCCTCCTCTCACTGCAGGTTTCTAGAGGCACTGGCGGACCGGCTGTGCATGGGGGATGTGAACCGAGAGGGAGACTGCTCACACAATGATCTACTTTGAAGCACCTCTTCCCTCCTCTCACTGCAGGTTTCTAGAGGCACTGGCGGACCGGCTGTGCATGGGGGATGTGAACCGAGAGGGAGACTGCTCACACAATGATCTACTTTGAAGCACCTCTTCCCTCCTCTCACTGCAGGTTTCTAGAGGCACTGGCGGACCGGCTGTGCATGGGGGATGTGAACCGAGAGGGAGACTGCTCACACAATGATCTACTTTGAAGCACCTCTTCCCTCCTCTCACTGCAGGTTTCTAGAGGCACTGGCGGACCGGCTGTGCATGGGGGATGTGAACCGAGAGGGAGACTGCTCACACAATGATCTACTTTGAAGCACCTCTTCCCTCCTCTCACTGCAGGTTTCTAGAGGCACTGGCGGACCGGCTGTGCATGGGGGATGTGAACCGAGAGGGAGACTGCTCACACAATGATCTACTTTGAAGCACCTCTTCCCTCCTCTCACTGCAGGTTTCTAGAGGCACTGGCGGACCGGCTGTGCATGGGGGATGTGAACCGAGAGGGAGACTGCTCACACAATGATCTACTTTGAAGCACCTCTTCCCTCCTCTCACTGCAGGTTTCTAGAGGCACTGGCAGACCGGCTGTGCATGGGGGATGTGAACCGAGAGGGAGACTGCTCACACAATGATCTACTTTGAAGCACCTCTTCCCTCCTCTCACTGCAGGTTTCTAGAGGCACTGGCGGACCGGCTGTGCATGGGGGATGTGAACCGAGAGGGAGACTGCTCACACAATGATCTACTTTGAAGCACCTCTTCCCTCCTCTCACTGCAGGCTTCTAGAGGCACTGGCGGACCGGCTGTGCATGGGGGATGTGAACCGAGAGGGAGACTGCTCACACAATGATCTACTTTGAAGCACCTCTTCCCTCCTCTCACTGCAGGTTTCTAGAGGCACTGGCAGACCGGCTGTGCATGGGGGATGTGAACCGAGAGGGAGACTGCTCACACAATGATCTACTTTGAAGCACCTCTTCCCTCCTCTCACTGCAGGTTTCTAGAGGCACTGGCGGACCGGCTGTGCATGGGGGATGTGAACCGAGAGGGAGACTGCTCACACAATGATCTACTTTGAAGCACCTCTTCCCTCCTCTCACTGCAGGTTTCTAGAGGCACTGGCAGACCGGCTGTGCATGGGGGATGTGAACCGAGAGGGAGACTGCTCACACAATGATCTACTTTGAAGCACCTCTTCCCTCCTCTCACTGCAGGTTTCTAGAGGCACTGGCGGACCGGCTGTGCATGGGGGATGTGAACCGAGAGGGAGACTGCTCACACAATGATCTACTTTGAAGCACCTCTTCCCTCCTCTCACTGCAGGTTTCTAGAGGCACTGGCGGACCGGCTGTGCATGGGGGATGTGAACCGAGAGGGAGACTGCTCACACAATGATCTACTTTGAAGCACCTCTTCCCTCCTCTCACTGCAGGTTTCTAGAGGCACTGGCGGACCGGCTGTGCATGGGGGATGTGAACCGAGAGGGAGACTGCTCACACAATGATCTACTTTGAAGCACCTCTTCCCTCCTCTCACTGCAGGTTTCTAGAGGCACTGGCGGACCGGCTGTGCATGGGGGATGTGAACCGAGAGGGAGACTGCTCACACAATGATCTACTTTGAAGCACCTCTTCCCTCCTCTCACTGCAGGTTTCTAGAGGCACTGGCGGACCGGCTGTGCATGGGGGATGTGAACCGAGAGGGAGACTGCTCACACAATGATCTACTTTGAAGCACCTCTTCCCTCCTCTCACTGCAGGTTTCTAGAGGCACTGGCGGACCGGCTGTGCATGGGGGATGTGAACCGAGAGGGAGACTGCTCACACAATGATCTACTTTGAAGCACCTCTTCCCTCCTCTCACTGCAGGTTTCTAGAGGCACTGGCGGACCGGCTGTGCATGGGGGATGTGAACCGAGAGGGAGACTGCTCACACAATGATCTACTTTGAAGCACCTCTTCCCTCCTCTCACTGCAGGTTTCTAGAGGCACTGGCGGACCGGCTGTGCATGGGGGATGTGAACCGAGAGGGAGACTGCTCACACAATGATCTACTTTGAAGCACCTCTTCCCTCCTCTCACTGCAGGTTTCTAGAGGCACTGGCAGACCGGCTGTGCATGGGGGATGTGAACCGAGAGGGAGACTGCTCACACAATGATCTACTTTGAAGCACCTCTTCCCTCCTCTCACTGCAGGTTTCTAGAGGCACTGGCGGACCGGCTGTGCATGGGGGATGTGAACCGAGAGGGAGACTGCTCACACAATGATCTACTTTGAAGCACCTCTTCCCTCCTCTCACTGCAGGTTTCTAGAGGCACTGGCGGACCGGCTGTGCATGGGGGATGTGAACCAGGCAGCGCACAGAGTGCTCAAGGACTTCAGGCGAGGGGCGTTTGGCTGGATCGCCCTGGAGAGGCCTCCTGTGTGACTGGAAAGGGGCTCCTGTGTGATTGTATGGAATCCTCCTGTGTGACTGTAAGAAATTTTCCTTTGTGACTGTAAGGAATCCTCCTGTGTGACTGTAAGAAATCCTCCTGTGTGACTGTAAAGGGCCTCCTGTGAGAGGCCTACTGTGACTATGAAGGAGGTTTTTTGTGTGAGTGGGTGGGGCTACTGTGTGGCTATAAGGGAGGCGTTTTGTGTGAGTGGAGAGGTGACTGTTAAGGAGGCATCTTCCTGTGAGACTGGAGAGCCGGAAGGGAGGATGCACCGTAATGTGAGAGTGCTGCTGGTTGATGCCGTTAATGCTAAGAGTTGATTCAAGCGCTTGGTCTATTGTGCAACAAGTACTGTGTCTCTTGTGCAACGAGTACTGAGCTATAAGATTTAAGTTGTGGCTGGTGATTTTGTTGGTTATCCCTTTTTCAGTCATTTTCACATTGTCTCTGCTGTATCGATGCAGACTAGGAGTGGAGATGGCAGGGGCAGGGAACAGGGAACAGGGAAGGGGGAACAGATGAAAACAGAACAGTGAGCAAGAAGCTACGTCAGCAGAATACGTTGCGTTGTCGTGCCTCAACAAGAATCAAGACAAAGGAAGCCAAAACACAAAAGGAAGCCTTATCCCAGCAAAGCCTTATCCCACTCCTCCTTACACAGTCTCCAAGCCCTACAGTACCAGTATGCTACAACCAGGATTCCCCCTGGGCCCCCTTCAACTTCTCGCAAGATTCATTACGTACGTCTAGCCTTCTACCTTGAACAGCCTATGGTAGATAAATGTCAACGGTACCGGTACATCTCAAACTGCCCGCGCATGGCGCCATCAGGATACTTGGAAGTATGAATGTTCCCGTAGAACCCACCCGGATGTCTTGACATCTCCTTGAGTATTGATACAAGCTTTCCAGTCCGTTCCGCCGGTTTTTTCCCGAGGCTGCCGTTGCATTGCCAAACACTGTTCTCATTCGAGTAATCGTACGCACACGGCAGATCCAACACCTTGGGGCCGTTTTTCCCCGCTGGTGCTTGGTGCACATGCGTCATGGTCGGCGGTAAATCATTCTCCATGTATACAGGCATTACTGTCACCGCGTACTCGAGCCACTGAGGCTGGCCGTTCTTCCTGCATATTACACATCAGTAAATTGGGGGTTAATCTCGAGAGGATATTATAACGGAGATAAGTGTACACTACATCACAGGACAGAGTTGAGCTTTGATCATGGAAGTAGAAATTCGGTATCATAAGAGCACCTAATGGCTCTTCTCCATTAGAGCTGCGGAACTCAGGCTTGAGGTGACTTTTTTGTCGACTCAAAAGTCACCCCGCCTTAGAGCTGCGGAACTCATGCGTGACAGACTCACTCACTTGTAGATCGTCAATGTCATGTCTGCCACGCCGCCAGATTGGTCCCCAACAGTCACGCCAGCTGGGGAGCCATCCTTGGGAACCTCATTGTCGCCAGTTAGCGTGGCAGCGATAAGGACTTGTGAAAGAGAACCTGGGGGGGGAGGGGGAGAGAGGAAGGGGAGGGAAGAATACGGGGGGTGGGGGAGGGAGCAGGGATGGGAGAGGATGGTGGAGTGGAGGTGAGGTTGACGCTTGGGCGTGAGGCATTGAAAGGGAAGGTTTTTCTTTGGGTGAGACTGAGAGGGGGTGAGTTCAGGTGGGAAAGTCACGTGCCAATGGGCTTTCAATGTGAAATTGAGAGTTACGGTGAAAAAAAAGGTTAATAGGCAGACGTGGAACTTCGAAGGAAAAAAAAAACGAGAGGGTTCTTTTTGGAGCTGACCAGCTTTCTTTGCAGCGTAGGCAGTCGCCACAAGAGCCGCCGCAAGGCACGCTGCACGAAGCACACCCACGAAGATATGCGAAATCAGCGATCGGGGGTTACGGAGCCTGCCTGACAGCAGGCAAGCAATGAGGCGAGCTGGCATTGGTGTCGCGTACTCACGGGTAACGCTTACCGAATAGCAAGACGCAGCGAGCACGAATGAAGGCCATGAGTTAAAGAGTAGTCAATTGGAGGGAGCAAGTTATTGCTTCTAGCAAAAAGTTAAATGAAAGGCAGAACTGAATAAGTGTTTCTTGGGGCTGGGATTAACCTCATCTATAGTCACGTCGAGGCTCGGGGATGGAAAGACCAGAAAGGCCGCGCGGTACAGCTATATGTGGAGATCGACGGACGGGATGATAGGAGATTCCGCGAAGGCATCTCACCAGACGATAATTCAAGTTCTAACTCGGAGGTGAATCGAGGCGCATCGGGCCATCAATAAGACGGTCGACTCGACGTGTGAAGTCGTCATTCTTGCCAACTCCTGAAAAGTTATCAACTCTGGCCTGTTATTGGCCGGAACTCAATAATGGCAGATCTAGGCGCGAGAAGAGAGGCGAGCTACGATTGGCTAATCCGAGAAAGCTACCATATTATGCAGTGTGACGCGTTCCTGCTGAAGCTCGCTCAAGTCAATCGTTCCTCCAGCCATGCCATGGCGGAAAGCAGGATGACCATCGGATAAGGCAGGAAGGGAAGCGAAGTGAATGTGGATAATGGAACTTTGGGGCGCAGTGAGTTTCTACACGGTAAGACATGGTTCTGGTTGGGGGTCGGTGGATGTGCATTGGTACAGTATGTTGATTACGTTGCCCTGTAACTTGGGGCCTTGTTATGGGGAAAATATGTCACAAGTAACCAACTTGGGACCCGATAACATGGATGATAAAAAGAAAACGCGTACGGTCACTGTATCGGGTTTCCTGACGGGTTTGGTAAGCGAGGTCACGGATTCAGTCACTAACAACAGGTAAAAAATCACGCGAATGGTCACACATGTAACTCCCTTCAAAAAAACTTGAAACCCAACAAAATTCCCTCTCGCGCCCAACCAATCTGCGAACTTGTAAAAAAAAACTAAAACCCAATCGGAATTGGATGCAGTTTGGGGACGGATCAACCCTAAACACCTGGCGAAATGACGTTTAGGGTTGATACATCCGAAAATGCATCCATGTTATTTTTGGGTTTCATTTTGTTTTGGCGGGAATTTCATCTGTGACCATTCGCGTTTTTTTTTTCACCAGTTGATTGTGACTGATTCCGTGAAACTCTTTATCAGTCGCGTGAAAACACCCTTTGCAGTGACCGTACCCTTTATTTTTTTACCACAAATGTTTTCGAGTCCCATGATGGTTACAAATGGAATATTTTCCCATTGTTATGAGTTGTAAAAGAGAGTGCGCAAAAGAGAGTGCGCAGGTAAACGAATAACGAGGCTACAATGAACTGAATACAATGAACTGAGAATACAATGAATGCACAGACTAATGTAGGGCTAGCCTAGCTAGGAGGAAACCTCGGACGAGCGAGGTTGGGTGCAGGTTTGGCGATGGGAATGCCGAAGGCGACGCGAGGAGCCTCGGCAGCGTGGAAATCGCCCGAACGTGCGAACTCCGAAAATCGGGTTGTACGCGCAGCAGTCAACCCCGATAAGGAATTCGAGAAAATTCCTTACACCACCCCCCCCCCTTAAGAAAGGCGGTCAATATCCGAAACACGCTTGCGCGCCAAGTAATCACCAACAAGTGGCGAGGCGTCGAGCGAGGCGGATGGCACCCACGTGTCGTCCTCACTGGTGCGATCAGTCCAGCGGATTAAGAAATCCACGTGTCGGCCAGCTGCGTCAAGTCGAACCCGATGAGCGAGAATCTTCGAAGGTTCAAAAGTCGGCTCCGGGACAGGTCGAGCTGTCGGGGCAGCTTGCTGACGTGCGATGTCGGTCGTGGCTGGCACGAACTTGCGAAGCAAACTGACGTGGAAAGCGCCATGAATTCGCCAGTCGTCTGGTAGCAACAGCTTCGCGGTGACAGGTGTCACCATCTTGATAATCTTGAACGGTCCGCAAAATCGGGGCCGGAGCTTAGGTGCAGGTTCTTCGTGTCGAGGAGCACTAATTGCCCAGTAGTCAAGACGAGTTCCCGGCGTAGTAGGTCGGTGTATTTGCGGGAAATGATATTCGCCTTGCGAATTGCATCTGCTGCTTTCCCACGGATGTGCTGAAGTTCCGTCACAAAAGTTTGTGACCTCGGGACCGGGTTGTCGAGCGAAGTTGCCGTGGGCACCGTCGGATCCATCCCGTAATTCAGGAAGAACGGGGAGTGATTAGTCGTGCTCGACGGTGCGTTGTTGAAGGCAACATCGTGCGGGGTCGGGGCAGTTTGTCCGTATCAGCTGCTCCATCGTCTGGTTGGTTCGCTCGGTTTGTCCGTCCGTCTGTGGGTGGTATGCCGATGAGAACGCGAAGGCGCGTTCGTGAGGCCGAAGGGCATCACCGTGAATTCGTAACCCCCGTAGCGTGTGCGAAACGCAGTCTTGTGACAATCGTCGGCGAAGACCCGGATCTAGGGTTAACCGCCACGTAAGTCGATTTTCGAGAAGTAGCGAGCGCCGCGAAGTTGGTCAAGAAGGTCGTCGGTGCGTGGGATTGGGTAGCGAGACTTGATGGTCACCCGGTTCAACGCGCGATAATCGATGCACATGCGAAGCGCGCTGTCTTTCTTCGGAGTGAACAGGATCGGTGCCGCGAACGGGGAGGTGCTCGGCCGAATGAACCCTTTCTCCAACAGTGCTTCAATTTGTCGGCGCAGCTCCTCGAGTTCCGGCTGGGTCAACCGCCACTGTGTCCGAACAGTTGGTTGCGCGCCAGGTTCCAGCTGGATTTTATGGTCTTCGGGTCTCTCGGGTGGCAGCCCAGGTGGCAAATCGTCCGGGAAAATGTCGGGGTACTGTCGAATCAGCTCCGCTAAATCCGGAGGAACAGCTGTACACAGTTTCTCGATGTCCTTTCCGTCGGTGTCGACTGCCAACTCGCGCAAGCAGACGGCGAACAGCTGCGCACCCCTGTTGAAGTGGCGAGCTATAGTGATAGCTTTGACGCACGGGGCTTGGATGTAGTCAGGTGTCCATGCAGGCAACTTAATTAGCCCCTCGTGCTTGCTGACGCAGCACGATCCCGTTGTCCAGTCGATGACGGGGTTGTGTCGTCGCAGCCAATCACGTCCCAGCAGCACGTCGCAGCCATCCAGCGTCGTCGCGAGAAACTTCATGCTGAAGCCGAAATCTTCGCCGCACTCGATCCGCACCGTCCGTGTTTCTTCCGTTATCGCCAGAGGCGTCCCATCCACGAGTCGTGCGTCGATTTCGGGCAGACACCTGTCAAGTTGCAGCTTGCATCTTTTTGCGCTCGCCAAGTTGAAGAGGCTATGGCTGGCCCCCCCATCGACGAACATTTTCAGGTTATTTTTTCCCACCTTGCCAGCGACCAGCACAGGGTGATCCACATGATTATCCCCGTTATTCGGCCGAGTGCGATCGATTGCATGAATCGGAACCACGACTCGGTGGGGATGGTGGGGTTCGGGCGACGGAGCGTAGTCAGTAAAGGGCCCGCTAATTACTGACTTTTCCCATTTCCCTGCTCCTTCCTGTCGTTCCCTGTCGGCGACGTTTTCTCGGGGCAGTCTTTCATGTAGTGACCCGTCTTCCCACACCGGTAACACGGTCCCTTAGGAGGGCGGTCGGGTGTATGGACGGCGTTGATAGTGGCCCGATGGGTCTGGCCACGAAAACGGTTTCCATCCCTGGAAGCTGTTCTCGCGTACTGCATCAGCGCGTTCGTAGATTCTGCCAGCCGTACTGCTTCAAGGAATGATGTCGGGCGGCCCCTGCGCACCTCGTATTGAATCTCGTACTTGAGGCCGCTGATATATATTAATCTAACCGCTCTGCTTCCGACATGTCATCAACTTGGTCGGCCAGTCCCATGAACGACGCTGTGTAGTCTTGGACAGATGCCATCTGCGACCAGGCACGCAGCTTCATGCGAGCTTGCTCCGAGGCGGATACGTGCTCGAAACGGTTTCGCAAGGCTGCGCCCCACTCCTTCCACGTGCGTATCGTGGTCACACCAAAGATCGGTTCTGCCACTTGATTAGTTGTCGCAGGGGTCCCGTCTGCCGCATGTGTCACACCTGTCGGCGTCCCTGTTTCCAAGGTCCGGCGCCACCACTCAAGCGCCGCGCCTCGAAGAAGCGACCCCGCGTAATTAATACGCGTGGCATCGTCGTTAACGCCTGCTGCCGTGAAGAAGACCTCGACACCGAACAGCCACCCCTTCACTGTAGTCGTCTTGTCCGTAGGATTAAACGGGGGCGGGTTGACGGGCTTGATCTTGATCGTCGTAACTGCAACTGGCGCTGCTGCCGCTCGCTGCCTATCTTCTTCTTCGAAGTCACGTGTGAGCGCATCCAGCGGATTGCTCATCGCCTGACTGTTGCCCTCGCCTTCGTCCACAGGCGACGTCTGACGCGCTTCACCTCGCGTCTGGCGTAGCTCGGTGTTTTCCTCCCGCAGTGTTGTCACTTCCGCCATTAATGTCTTCATGCTCTCCTGCATTTCTGCCACTTGCGCCATCATCCGGTTAACAGCCTCCTGATCCATGTGTCTAGCACTACGTCTGGTGGGCAGTCGGGTCCCCGTGGCCTTCAGGCAAATGAAAACACGAACTATCGGAGTCGGGCAGGATTGAATTAACAATCCCTGCAGCCAACCGTCGTGTAGTCACTAAACCAGCCACACCCTATGCCACCAAACTACCTTCGAAAAGGGGGGTCAACTAGGAAAGTAGCTCTGATACCAGGTGTTATGAGTTGTAAAAGAGAGTGCGCAGGTAAACGAATAACGAGGCTGTGACTGAATGAACTGAGAATACAATGAATGCACAGACTAATGTAGGGCTAGCCTAGCTAGGAGGAAACCTCGGACGAGCGAGGTTGGGTGCAGGTTTGGCGATGGGAATGCCGAAGGCGACGCGAGGAGCCTCGGCAGCGTGGAAATCGCCCGAACGTGCGAACCAGGGCTAATTTTTGGATTTGGGATACCCTTATAATCAGTGTACCTCTTGCTCAAAAAGCTGATTATCAGGACGGATATTTTTACCCGTCAG